ATTCCAATAAAATCATTAAATGAAGGCTATGTTACTAAGATTTCTTGTTTCATATTACCTTCTATTACTGATGACGTTCCTTGTAGTTCATTAGACATAAAAGATTTAAAAATACCAAGTGACCTGTGTTTAGCTGATCCTCATTTTGATACCCCTTCCCGTGTAGATTTAATTATAGGTGCAGATATTTTCTGGGACCTTCTGGGAACACGGAGGATTAATCTTGGTGTTGGGAAGCCAGTTCTATTTGAAACTAGACTTGGTTGGATAGTTTCAGGTTCTATATTAAATAATGATCAGGTACCTAATTATTTTCCAAAATGTAATTTAATTAATGTTAATAACTCTTCACAGATTAACTCGAATGCTGTTGACCTTCAAAACCTATTAATGCGTTTTTGGCAACTCGAGGAAGTTGGCCATCAGTCATCAGTATATTCTCGAGAAGAAAAGATGTGTGAAGAGAACTTCGTTAAAAATACGACACGTCTTAAGGATGGTCGTTTTTGTGTTAGAATACCACTAAAACAATCACAAGATTGTTTGGGTGACTCTCATCACCGGGCTAAGCACTGTCTGTTGTCGTTAGAACGCAAGTTTAAAAGTCAACCCTTATTTAAAAAACGGTATTGTGAATTTATGAAGGAGTACATCAATCTAAACCATATGTCTCCGTGTTCTCCTGATTCTCAGAGGGTCTCATTCTTTATACCTCACCATGGCGTTGAGCGAGAGAGTAGTTTAACTACAAAGCTCAGGGTAGTGTTTAATGCCAGTAGTCCCACTACTTCAGGAACATCATTCAATGATTTACAAATGATAGGGCCTACTGTGCAAGATGATTTGATGTCTATACTGCTCCGGTTCAGGCAATACAAATATGTTGTTTGTGCGGACGTAGAAAAAATGTACCGGCAAGTAGTTGTACATCCGGATGATAGGCATCTCCAACAAATATTGTGGCGTGAGAATCCTTTGGAACCAATGGTAGCTTATCAATTAAACACAGTCACATACGGCACTGCTAGTGCGCCATTCCTTGCTACTAGGTGTTTGCGTCAAATAGGGCTTGACTGTACTGATAATAAAATTGCTACAATAATTAAACACGACTTTTATGTGGACGATTTGCTCTCAGGTGGGGATACAGTTGAAGAGGTCCGTGAAATACGTCGCAAAGTTACAGTTGAACTCGCATCAGCTGGAATGCCATTGCGTAAATGGAAATCTAACTGTGCCAGTGTTGTTACTGATAATATACAGCATTCATCGCTTAATTTAAACATTGGTGCAGCTGAGCCGTGTAAAACTTTAGGTTTAAGTTGGCACACTGAAACGGATGTCCTATGTTTTTCAATAAGTGAAAATATTTCTAACCCGTTAACAAAACGTGGTATTCTCTCTACTGTATCTCAGAATTTTGATCCATTAGGACTTTTAGCTCCGTGCATTATTGTAATGAAGACAATGATACAAAAATTATGGGTACTAAAGTTGGGATGGGATGATCCGCTACCTCCAGATATTTTAAAATTGTGGGTAAACATTTTACGCAACTTGCCAATTATAAATCATTTACGAATTCCACGTTTAGTACTGTGTGATCTATACGATAGCATAGATCTACACATATTTAGTGATGCATCACAAGTCGCGTATGGTGCTTGTGTGTATGTACGTAGCTCAACTCAAGACACTAACACATTGGTGCGTTTGCTTACAGCCAAAAGCCGTGTAGCACCTATAAAGCCGGTGACAATACCGAGACTAGAGCTTTGTGCGGTTTTGGTTGGAGTCCGTCTTTATGAAAAGGTGGTTGATTCTCTCCGCGTTCAAATCAGAAGCGCCACCTTCTGGACTGACTCAATGGTAGTACTAGGCTGGCTTAACGTGGTACCTTGTAAGTTGCAGCCCTTTGTTAGAAACCGTGTTGCAGAGATCTTGGACAAGACAGGGTCATGTTCTTGGAGGCACGTTCCGACTAAACTAAATCCCGCTGATCATATATCCCGTGGAATTGATGTAAGTCTTTTACATTCCTTAGACTTGTGGTGGTCAGGTCCTAAATTTTTAAGTTGTGATCCCTCACAATGGCCTATTACTCCACCAGTCACAGCTGATAAACTACCTGAGGTGCGCTCTGAGGTTTCCTTACTTGTTAGATCAGAAAATAACCTCGAATTTATTAATTTTAATAGATTTTCTAATTTTTCTAGACTTAAACGCACAGTGGCTTATGTCTTAAGATTTCTGAATATTTGTAGAAAGAAATTACCTGAAAAACAATATCTCAGTGATAGCGAATTGAAATTGTCATTAAATTTGATTGTGAAACTTACACAAAAGGATTCGTTCCCGGAATATGAACTTCTAATAAATAAAAAACCACTGCCAAAAAAGAGTCCATTACTTAAATTTAACGTATTCCTTGATGACCAAAATTTAATGCGTGTAGGTGGTCGTCTTGGAAATTCTCAATTTTGTTATGATAAAAAGTTTCCATTATTATTACAGTCCACTCATTACGTTACAAAATTGTTATTTCAACATATGCATCGGAAACTTATGCACGCTGGGCCGCAACTGCTACTGGCATCCGTTAAAGAAAATTATTGGCCTATCGGCGGGCGTAATTTAGCAAAGGCGGTTTATCGTAAGTGTGTAATATGTTGTCGTATGAAAGGGCAGGTTGTATCACCACTCATGGGTGATTTGCCACAGCAGCGCGTAACTCCTGGAGGTTATCCCTTCGAAACTGTTGGTGTCGACTATGCTGGACCTGTTTTGTCAGCTAGTAGACAGGGGCGTGGGTGCCGACTCACAAAAGTTTATATTGTTTTGTTTATATGTTTTACAACAAAGGCTGTTCATATCGAGTTGGTAGGTGATTTAACAAGCTCTAATTTTTTATCGGCTCTTCGTCGATTTGTGTCTCGTAGAGGAAAACCTAAACACCTCTACTCTGATAACGGGACCTCGTTCGTTGGAGCATATCACGAGATTGGGAAGTTTATTAGAGATAATTGCAATTCATTATCTAGTGATTTAGCAGAAGAAGAAATTGATTTTCACTTTATACCTCCTTATGCTCCTCACTTCGGTGGCCTCTGGGAAGCTGGCATCAAATCTACAAAATACCATTTAAAAAGAGTATTGGGAAATTGTAATCTAACGATGGAAGAGCTGAACACTGTCTTGATACAAATAGAAGCCCTACTGAACTCACGTCCACTTACCTCGCTTTCGTCGGACCCCAGCGATGTTCTGCCACTCACACCCGGACATTTCCTCATCGGGCGACCACTCACTGCATTGCCTACGCCGAGTTATGAAGATTGCTCTAAGAACCACCTTACCAGATACCAGAGAATCGAACAACTCCGACAACATTTTTGGTCAAGGTGGAGTAAAGAATATGTGTCAGAGTTGCAGCAACGAGTAAAATGGAGATCCAGTAGATCTTCACTGAAGAATAATGCCCTCGTTCTCATAAAGGATGACAACCTCCCACCATTAAAATGGCGACTTGGCAGAGTTACTGCGT